GGTTGTGAAATCTGTCCCAGGGAATCCATGCTGCAGGAGCTCCAAGGTCAAGCCCTGTGCTTCTGGGTAGGGTTGGGGCTGGCAAGGGTGACCACTCGGAACTAAGATCCCACAAGTAGGAGAGCAGAGGAAGACACCCTCAAGTCAGACGCCTAGAGATGCTGCCATGCCTGGGAGAGACCTGTGAGCTCTAGGGCTCCCAAGACAACCTGCCACTCTTGGGGCTGGTTGGAACAAACCCCTGCTGCTTCCGTGCAAATCCCAGCTGCCTTGGCAAACTTGGGTCTGACGTCCAGGAACACGTGTGAGACCTTAGGTCTTCCCTATCTTAATGAACTAGGGGAGGAATCCAGGTGAATGTGTGAATGCGGATTTTCCCTTTCTCCTAAATCTGCGGTAGATAGAGAGGCCCCAAATCATTGCTGGGCTGCTGAAACAGGAGGCTGTGACCTGGAGGAGGAGGAGCGTGTGTGTCTGTGTGTGAGTGTCTGTGTGTGTGTTGTGCATCTATATATTTGTATTTACAGAACATTTTGGGTTGCTCTTGATTGAAACCACAAGAAGCATAAATCACTGTTCCTAAAACAAAGCCGTCTCGTCTGCGAGGCAGCCTGCCTCAGAGGCCCCAGATGTGGATGGGGCCCTTGGCCTCTTTGCCTGTTGCTGGCAGATCAGCCTGCCTTCCTGCTGTCTGTCACCCACTCCTCTCATCACCAGCCATCCACTCAACCATCCTCTCTTTCTTTTTGTTTCTTTTTTGAGACAGGGTCTCATTTTGACACCGAGGCTGGAGTGCAGTGGTATGATCATAGCTCACTGCAGCCTTGAACTGTTGGACTCAAGTGATCCTCCCACCTCAGCCTCCCGAGTAGCTAGGACTACAGTCACACACCACCATGCCTGGCTAATTTTTAAAGAAAAATTTATGTTTTATAGAGTTGGAGTCTTGCTGTTTCCCGGGTTGGTCTCAAACTCCTGGCCTCAAGCAATCCTCCTACCTTGGCCTCCCAAAGTGCTGGGATCACAGATGTGAGCCACCCTGTCTGGTCCCACGCTCCCTGTCTGTTACATTAGGCTCAGGCTTATCAGGAGATGGGGGTTTTCAGGCTGGGACCTGAATCTCAGGGACTCTGTCACAACCATAGTGGCCAGATTTGTAAAATGGAAAAAAAGGTGACAAGAACGCCTTCGTGAAAGAACTTTTCTTTCTTAGATACTTTACCAAATAAAGTAACCTAAGTCTACGGTTGCCTGGCCATAGACCCTGTGGAAACTCACTTTAAGGGAGCAATCCAAAAGGCCTGAATTCATACCCTTGGTTAATGGGTTTCCAGCGTGGGAGAAGGACCCGCACTGCCTCTCACCCAAAGTCGTATATCAAGACTGTGTGTGTCTGTGTATGCAGCGGGGAGAGTGGGGTGAACTAGAATCATTTACAATCAGTGGTCACGGAAGGGAACCTCCTCTTGCAACCAGAAAGTCTGGGCTAGCTCTCAGCTCCTGTTATTGGCCCCAGCCCTTGTTCTGGGGGCTCATTTCTGCCTGCAGAAGCTGGTTCCCACTAAGGCAATGCCATTATTCTGGAGATACAGGATTGCAGAGTTTGCAAGTCCTCCTGGGGCATTTCTGTTTCTAGGAAAAGGGAAGAGGTTGTCATCTTTCTGCCTAACTCCCCATGCATTAGGACATGACATTCAAGAAAAGACTGTAGGTTTAGCTGGGGATGCCCGTTCATTTTACAGTCCAATTTCTCCTTCCTTCACCACCCCATCCCTTCTCCAGGCTGGAGACGTATTCCTGCTATGTCTGCTCTTTTCCCCGTTGCCCAAGTTGAGTTTCCTAAGGGCAAATGGAGAGGGTTAATCAGATACCTCACTTCCCTGTTTGACCCGGGTGTGTGGTCAGGGAAGTATCCTGGTACCTTTAGTCCAGTGCACACTTATCGAGTGCCCGCCATATACAGAGCCAGGGCTGTGTGCTACAGGGGATACAACAATTAATAATCTCACCATTAATAGTTCCTGCCTTTAAGGGGTATTCATTCCATGGGAACCACACAGCTGCCTGCCCCATCTCTATATTCCTAGAGAATAGATGCTCCCTGCTCAGGAGCCAGGAGGGAGCTGTGAGCATCCCAGAGACAAGCAGGTTTCCAGAAACTATCTCTCAGCAATGCAGAACCCACCTTCCAGCATCGAAATTGGGGGCCACATGGATTCCGACAAGGAGACAACAATCAAGGTGGGACAGCTTTGTGCCTCAAACTCTCTTGAAAATATAATTTTCTTCCCTTGGATACATCTGGCTCGAGTGAAGCAGCCTTCTTTTAATTTTGACAAAATAATGAAACCAGATCAGTGATGTTGGCGTGTTTCATGTGGACACATGACGCTAGGAGAACTTCAGAGCTACGCAGCTCTCACGACTGCCAAGAAACTGAAGCTGAACTTCAAGGCACAGTCCTCCAGAGTGGCCTAGGCAAAGTCTCCACCTTGTTGAAGCCCTTCCTGGGCCACCACTCCTTGTGGGGGAGTGGGGAGGGCGGGAGCCAGGGTCTGGGGCTTTGCCGGGCTAGTGGCAGCCTCAACATTGGCTTTGGGATGAATCTCAGGACCAGACTTCCCCACCCCTGCGTGGG